CACCCTTGGTATACTGTGAATACATTTTATTACCATTGGTTAATAAAGAAGCTGATTAGGCCAATAACCAGGCAAGGAAATCCAAACAAAGATACAGGGAAAAAGAAGGTGGAGTCGGGGAGATGCCAGCAGCCACTGGAGGAACAACACGCCAGAACAATACCAGTAAATCATAGGGCACGTGGTGATACACAGATCATTAGAAATGGGTTAATATATGCAAGAGCGAGCCAGTAAGAAGTTCTGAGCCATTGGCCAACCAATTATAATTAATTTTACACCTCTGAGTGATTATTTGGAAATGGCTGCAGGATGGGGCAGGACAGAGAAACCTCCAGTAACAGTTGGTAGCTTTCAGTACATTTAAACTCAAACCTGAGTGGCTGAACCAGTTTAGATATCAGCTGCCAGGACCACATCAATTTCCTAGTGTAAGATCTACCTGCCCTGGAACGATACCGCAAGCTGGCGGGAGGCTAGCAATGGAGAAAACTCAAAGCTCGTCATTAATGAAAAAGCATTTGGGGATGCCTCTCATCTGCCTGGTTCCCATGAGAGCCTGGAAATATAGCTACTGCCTCTCCTAGCGCTTACTATCTGTTCACTGTGGTTAACAAGCAATTTAAAAAAAATCAACAGCCGGGCTCAGATATTAGATAGAAGCATGATGAACTTGGGCCTCCAAGAAGGTAAGTAGAGACGCTATGCCAGGACGGGGAGATGGGGAACGATGAGACTGTCAGGGCCATGGAGGGACCTTAAACAAGCATCTCATTTCTAGGGGCCTTAGTGCACACCAGCCTGAGCTACTTGTGACAGCCCCAACCTTGTAAGGCAAGGACCACAGCAAAGCATGGGGCCACTAGCTGACCAGGTAGGTGCTGGCCTTGCCACTGCTCACGTCAGGGCCCTTAGGGCCAGCTCCAGACAGATGCCCACTGAGAACCAGAGGTGGATATCTGGAGAGGTGGCAGTGGGGACCCACACCATGAGGACGGAAGGCAGACAGCAAGGCATACTTGAACAGGTTGGCTTCAGAGGTGTCCATTGCCCAGTTGCATATCTGGAGGCGCTTCCACCTGTCAAACAGTTCAGACTGCTTCACCCTGTGGGAGCAGTGGGCAGAGAGCAGATGAGAAGGTCAGGTTGTACCACGTGTCACCCGTTTCCAAAAACCCTCCCTTCCCCTTCCCCTATACGCCTTATCAGCGGTCGGTATGTTACTCCGCTGTGTGCCATATCAGCTGTAGGTATGTTACTCCGCTGTGTGCCATATCAGTGGTCGGTGTGTTACTTCCCTTACTCTTGATGTGAGGGCAATTCCGAGGCAAGCACAGAAACCCCAGGGTAAGCTCCAGGGCTCTTCTGTCTCTGCCTCTGTGCACTGGGATTGCAAGTGTGCGCCACACATCTAGCTTTTCACAAGCTAGTACTCCGCGTGTTTGCAAGACTGACTGAGCCGTCTCCTCAGCCCGAACTTTATAGCATTCAGTCCCAAACTCCCTTGAGACAGATCCAGCAGGTCCCAGACACTGCCTTAAATCCAGTCACCTTGGATTCCAGAAACAGCAGAGCCCTGGAGACCAATCTCCTTAGGAGAGGAACCAGGGCTATCCCTCTAAACAGCATCAATCATCTGAAAGATATCTGGATGCTCCCACAATCCATGACAAGCAGGACCAGAACTGAGGTAGATCAGCCAGCCCTGAGTTCACAGAGATTGCTCAATCATACAGACCTCTCAACCGACTCAGTTCTTCCTCTGTTTAGACAGTAGCCCATGTCAGAGCTCCAAGGACATGCTGAGATGCTGATGTCTTCCACTTCCCCAGTACGACGAACCTGGGCCATATTTATTAAACTCTCTTCCTGTCTTTCCAATCCTACTTTGTTGGATTTCTGGGGAGAGCAGTTAGACCCAATCTGTTGAGAGCCCCCTCCCACTGCCCCAAGTCAGGTCCATGTCCTGGGATATTAGTACCACCTATATGCATTTGCTGGCTAGTTTTTGTCAAGTTGACACAGGTAGGGTCTTCCGGGAAGAGGGAACCTCAGCTGAGAAAATACCTCCATGAGACTGACGTGTGGGCAAGTCTGTGGAATATTATCTTAATTGACAATTGATGTGGGAGGGCCCAGCTCACAGTGGGTAGTGCCACTTCTGGGCAGGTAGGTACTGGATGGTATAAGGAAGCAGGCTGAGCAAGCCGTGGAGAGCAAGCCAATAAGCAGCACCCTTCCATGGCCTCTGCATCAGCTCCTGCCTTGAGTTTCTGCCTTGCTTTCCCACAATGATGTACTGTTCCCTGGAACTGTAAGATGAACTGAACCCTTTCCTCCCCAAGATGCTTTTGTCCAGTCTCTATCACAGCAATAGAAAACAAATCATGATCAACATCAGCCGTCACCTCCTCCCTCCTCACCGTTCTTCACCTTAGACAGTGTCTAACCTTGAAGGCCAAGCCCTCGGTGCCACCCGTGTTCTGCCCTGTCCCTATGGCCTTCGCCTCTTCTTAGTTATTTCTTCCCATTGCAGTTAAGGTGTTCCCCATTCCCAGGCTGTGTCACTAGGGCCAAGTCACTCCCGAGCTCCTGTGTCTGCACATGTGGAGCGATCTGTCCCAGCCCTTGTCACCACCTAAGAGATTCTTCTTACAGTCACCAGGCGGTTGGGATTCTTTACATTTCCTCAGTGTTAGCCCTTTGTGAGTGGGGCACAGAGGCAGATCAAATGAGAGAAGAATATGCACAAGGGGACCAGCTTCCCAAAGTGTGTCCCCTGGAACTCTAGCGCAATGTGATGCTACATGAGACTTCTATAAAAGTGAGACTTCCCTACAGTTTAGCCCAATTTTAAAACATTTTAAATCCCAAATACATTTATGAGCAAATGTATTTGGAAAAGCTGAGTTAAAGTCTAATATTTTCTTCTACCCTGAGATTCCCTGGATCAATTAATAGGTTCTCCTATCTTATTTCATTTCAAGAAAGGAATATTGCACACATCACTTTCCAGAGATACCGGACTGTGGAGCCTTATTTCCACTGGAAATGCAGGACAGAGTGTACCTTGCACCCTGGCCCAGGCAGGCCAGGACTCCTCTTGCTTTAGGGCTAGGCAATGCATCCCTGCTCGTGTCCTGGATGGGAGCCTTTCGGAACTCACAGGCCCAGGACTCTGGATCTGAAAGGGGTCCTTAATGGAGGCTGTCCCAGCACCACCATGGCTGGGAAGTGGCTAGCCCCCAGGAGCACTGGGTTCACCTCTTCGTTTAACAGGAACTAGTGACATTTGTCCCCAAACATGGCCAATCACTCACTGCCTACAGAGCTAAGCTTGGTTTATTCTGTTTAACGTTGTTAAAACAAAATACTCTTGGCTGAGAACTTACAAAAGAAAACATCTATTTTTAGTTTCAGAAGTTGAAAGTTCCGGATCAGATGACCTCATCAGCTTAGCCTCTGGCGAGGGTACCAACAGCTGTCACCCGACAGACAGGGCAGAAAGCTTAAAAGAGTCAGGAGTCAGATTTACTCTTTTATAGCAATGTAATATCTATGTGTGTGTGTATGTGTTTGTGTGTGTATGTATGTGTGTGCATGAGTGTGTTCATGTCTGCACACGTGCATTCAGATGTCTTCCTCAGTCACACTCCACCCCATTTTGGGGGGCAGTGTCCCTCACCGGACCTGGAGCTCACCAGTTCAGCTAGACTAGCCAGTCAGAGGAAATCCAGGGGTCTTCCTGCCCCACCCCTCCAACCCTGGAGTTACGGGTGCACACACCACGACACCTAGCTTTTGTGTGGGTTCTGGGTACCCGAACTCAGCCTTCATGCTTATGTGGTTTTACCAAATGAGCCATCTCCCCAGCCCTGTAGCCTAGTCTTGAGGAAACTTATTCATTCTGTGAGACCATCTTTAATCTCTTCTAAGGGTGATGCCCCCAATGATCTAAATGCCTCCCTCTAGGCCTCACTTCTTAAAGGCCCACCACCTCAAGCTTCGAGCACATAAACCCCTTGGGGGGGGGGTAAACAACATCCAAACCACGACACCCTTCAACTAGGGAAATGTGAGGAGGAGGCTGGGCCTGAGGGAAGGAGGTGGTGTCCTCACCTACCAAAGCAGAAGATCTAGGAATGTAGTTGGTAGGGTGTGGACTGGGGTAAGGGGGTCCCCAGCAGCATGCATACATTCCTGAGGAGGGTAAGGAGGGTAGACAGAAGAAACAGCTGAGAATCATGGGAACGGAGCTAGGGTGAGAAGGCTGGACTGGCTCTGAGTTTTAGTACTAGAAGCTTCTGTGGTTTACACCATGACAGTGCCGGTCTCACTGCCCTCCGGCGTTCTCCCATGTCTCCGGGGCCTCTGGTGTCTTCCCACTCTGTTTACACTCCATTCTTATCTGCTTTCTCCACCACCTGTTCTTTGTACAAGTACGGGCTGAGTCCATGTGGTGTCCAAGATCCCTGAGCTATGGCCTGACTGCACGGAACCCTGACCTGGCAGAACACACAGGCTTTTGAAAGCCTTCTGGGCTGAGCTTCGAGAGGCATGAAGGACTTCCCAGGTCAGAGAGGGGGGCTTTTTTTTTTTTTTTTTTTGCCAGCGGCCATGGCTTCTAGCCACTCTGTTTGGCCTCATTGCTGGGCTCTGCACCAAGTCCAGCCCAGAAGTGTAGGGAAGGAAGCCAGAGAGGCTGCCACAGGAGTTCTCAAGCAAAACCCCCATGTGGGTGTGAACATGGGCAGCAACTGAAGGTTTGCCTTTAAAAACAGAGACACTCAAATGACTAGAATCAAACATAAATAGTTTGAACAAGAATCAGCGACGAACATTGTCCTGGCAGATAATCTCAGAGTAATTCATGGTGCCTCAGACACTGTCAGGAAGCAGGGCACTCTCCCTCTGGGGGTTTCTGGCTAACTCATTTTTACCATTGATTTGAAAAATTTTGGATCAAAAATATTTCTATGGGAATCACACATCTTGTGTCCTCAGACAAAATACCCATTCACGCTCTGTGTGCCGGAAGGAACATGTGTGCCTCCACCCAGCTTCCTCCATCCACAGAAGGGATTTGACCTTTTCCCTATTATTCGGGTCAGTCTTGCTGTGATGCAGGTTGTGGGATGAGGCTGGAGCTCAGCAAAATCTGAGAGTGCCCAGCTAATAACAGGACTACCTGGACAGAAGCCAGCCTCTGAGCTCTCTGACATCTCCCGTGGAGGACCACAAACCCTCAGTAACCCTCAGTTTAGGAATTACCCAGGAAGGGGGGCACCGGGCTTGCCATTGCCTAACACACCACAGACTGCCACAACTGACACCCTCTGGGTGGCCTAGTCTGGCCTGTACTCCTTCCTATATTTCTACAACTCAAGTCCCCAGACGAGACAGCTGTCATGGAAGAGAGAGCCTAACAAGACTGACTAAGTCTGAGGCCACCAGCTGGGATTGCTGTTATCCCAGGAGTCCATCCTGAGGAGTGAGACAAGGTATCCTGAGGACAGATGAGAACTCATGCAACTATGAAAAGACCAATACATCACCAAAAAAGAGCCTATGATCCACTGATGTGGAATGTCCTTTTGTATGCTGTGAATATGTTTTATTACCATTGGTTAATAAAGAAGCTGATTTGGCCAATAGCCAGGCAGGAAATTCAAGCAAAGATAAAGGGAAAAAGAAGGCAGATTTAGAGAGATGCCAGCAGCTGCCAGAGAAGCAAGATGTGAGGTAATGCCACAGCCATGTGGCAATATATAGATTAATAGAAATGGGTTGATTAAGATGTAAGAGCTAGTGAATAATAAGCCTGAGCTAATGGGCCAAACAATTTGTAACAACTATTAAGCCTCTGAGTGTTTACTCATGAACTGGTGGGTGGGAGAGAAACCTCTAGTTACAAGGGACAACAGTGATCACAGGCACAGGGAAATCCGAGATTGTTCTTCACATCCCCACAAGTCTTCCTCTGTAGGTTCAAACCAAAGTATCTTGGTAATTTCTCATCTGGTCTCTAAGTATCAGCTGTAACAGGAACTCTTATTGGCTGAATTGTGTCTCCCCAAAATTCACATGTGGAAGTCCTAACGTCAGTGTGACTGTATTTGGGGAAGGGGTCTGTAAAATCTAAACTAGATGGGAATGAAGTCATTGGAGTGGGCCCTGGTCCAGTATGACTGGTGTTCTTGTAAGAAGAGCATGAGATGTAAGACACAGACAGACACAGTGAAAGGATGGCTGTGGGCGAACCAGGAAGGGAGGCTCTAGGACCCCTGCTCTCTATTCTCCTGCCTCCAGAACAGGAAGGAAAAACTGACTCATCAGGGGTTAAAGAGATGGCTTAGCGGGATAAGCACTTCCCTGCAAGCATGAAGAGTAGAGTTAAGAAAATACTGGTTAGGCACAGTGGCCTGCCTGTAATTCCAGCCTCAGAAGGCTAAGATGGAGGATTCCTATAGCTCATGGGCTAGCAAGGCCAGTCATACCACTGAGTTCTGGGCTTGATGAGAGCTCTCACCTCAATGAAAAAGACAGGAGAGCAATAGAGGATGATTCTTGACGTTGGCATCTAGCCTCCAATGCATGCACATACAGAAAAAGAAAAGAAACTAAATGACTTGATAGTGGAATTTTGTGGTGGTGGCCCCAGAAAACAGCATCATACAGAAGATCTGGAGGTAGAAGGATGAGAAGTCATGAAGACAGTTTACATGCTTCCTCGTCACTTCCAGTCCAGGCCTTGAAGTGCCCGTGAAGAAATTATACGTTTTCTAATTTTAAAGTTAACTGTTCTTCCTTTGAAAACTCCAAGAAATATTGCCAACAAGAGCTCTCTGGGATCCCAGTTAAACATGTAAAGGCCTCAAATGTTTTAATTCTGAGAAAAGATAATCAGGGACCTTCTGCTTCTGAATTAAGTCCCCAACTAAGGTCTGGGTAGGCGTTGTCATGTAACTCCTTGGAAGCATTCCAAAACATCTATCAGACCACACTCCTAGGCACTGCCTCAAATCCTATCCACAGGGTCCCAAGGTCCTCGGGAAAGGATCTAGGTGCACCATGACTCCTGTGGTGCCACCGGTTCTGTTTTCCCCTCACATGCTGACCCACAGCTGCTCTGGTCCCAGCATCCTTCCTGTCTCAAGACCTCGTATGGACTGGCCCATTTGGGATCTTCTTAGCCTAGTTAACAACTATCACCCTACAGACCAGAACTCTCTCCACCCTTCCTCGGCAAACCTTTGCCTGGCATCACCCACCCTAGGTCAAGTTCCCCATTACCCTAAGAGTTTGTCTCCTTAGAGTTACTCATGTCTGTTTCCCCATTGATCTATGGACTCCCTGAGAGCTGGGACCACAGTGGTGCGTGCTCAGTGCAATGAACAGCAGACATCAGAGGGTAGCTTCATTCATCTCTAGAAAGGGCCATAGCCAATACAGATAATCCAGCTGGACTATCTCAAGGCCTACTCCTGGGACTTTCAGCAGCTGCATATGAAGGCTGCTAGTTTGGACCTTATGCATCTCCTAAAGGCTTTAGTGTTGAGGGCTGTTTCTCAGGGTGATGCTATGGGGAGGGTGGGGGACCTTTAGGAGGCAAGGCCATGTGGGGGAGGTCTCAAGGTTATTAGGACTGCACCAGTGGGAACCTGGTCTTTTTCTCTTTCTGCTTGGTCATGAAGACAGAAGATTTGCTCTCTCTCTTGCTCCCTGTGATGGCACACTTCCTCCTCAACACAGCCACCAAAGCAATGGGCCTGCTCACCTTGTGAGGACCTGGCTTTGCAGACTCCATTTTAAAGAAGGGGATTCATCTTAAGCCATATGGTGACTGGGAGCCTACCTCAGTTCCAGGGATGTGCTGCGATAGTGAAATTTGAATGTATACTTTAGAAATAGCCAATTAAGGAGCTAAGGAACAGGCTCATAAAATTTAACGAGGTCAAGATGTTTTCTGCAGACACCCTAGTCCTCGCAGACATCCTGACAGCAATTTAGGGTCCTTGGTTAACGGTCCATACCCAAAGTTTGATCAATGATTTCAGAAATCGTCTTACTCTGTATCCCCTTCACCCAATCCTAAGACCCCCAAATATGTATCCACCCTCCTTGCAGCTGTTCCCCTTTAAAAACTCTCCTCTCCCCAGCTCGGAGCCTCACTCTCTCCTCACCCACTGCCTTAATGTGTTGGAAGAGTGTGGTCCTCACTCGAACGGAAAGAAAGAGAGTGGAATATCCACATCTACTGAGCGCCACTGCCGCCTCCCCTGCAGCCCCCCCAGTCGGAGCCTGCTATCTATTTTACAAACTATTTCCACCAGTCGACAGCAATGCCTAAGAAGTAGGTAATGCCACCTCCATTTTATAAGTTAGGAAAGGCTCAGAGAAATTAAGTAATTTATTTGCCTGATAATTAGAGCAGGCAAGGCCCAGAATTAGCTTGCGGTCCCAGGTCTGCCTTAGCCCAAAGCCTCTACTTTCTCCATGACTCACACTACCTGGCTTCTGACTGCCAGCCATGGGCAGAGTCCTTAGGATCATGTCAGAGGGCCATGAATCCATATAAGTATCTAACATTACCTTTGTATAATTTTTATTTTGTCCACGTCCAGATGTAATTGTTTCTAAGTACATTCAGACCCTGGCATAATTATCATCCAGACACCCCAGGTAGGTCTGCTGGCTTCCAGGGAGTCATAACAAGAGAGAGAAGACTGAAGTGAATGGCCAACTGGGAGGCTCAGGTCTTCCTCCCACTGGCTGGACGAGCACTGCAGATGATAGACTATGGGATGGGATGGGATGGGATGGGATGGGATGGGATGGGATGGGATGGGATGGGATGGGATGGGACGGGACAGGATGGGGGTGCTCCTTTGCCGTTTCTATAGCAGTGTGTCGAAGGAATCTCCACACAGAGATATTGTTTGTGCACCAACATGCTGCGAGGATACACTAGGCCTTCAGGAACTAGAACGGGGTGAGAGAAAGATACTTCACTGCATACCATTTTGTGACACTTCTTGGATTTTGCATCAAATAATTGACCAATTAAAACTTTCAAAGAAATTAAAATTGTCAAAGACAGCATTAAGTGGGCCAGGTTTAACCCTTAACTGTACAAAACACTGAATTTCAGGTCCGACAGTCCAGGGCCTCTTAGATTTCTACCCAACAGGAGCCCTGCAATGATAATCGAGGTGGCTGATAACTGAGCTGGGGACTTTCACACCCCGAGGTGACCTTGCAAACTTAGCCTTGGTGATCAAACAGCTTCCAGGGCCTTCTAATGCCAGTGGAATTTCCAGGCTATGATGTCTATCTTGTGTTTCTCGTCCCCTTCAGTTCTGGGGTCTACCCACCCCACCCCACCTCCACATGAGACTTGTACCCACTCCCAGCCCAGGCAGAGCACACTCACATGGACAGCACCTTCACATCCAGGATCTCCTGCCTCAGCTCCAGGCATCTTGTGGAGTTAAATTCTAAAGGCCCCTTGTAAAATTCAAAGTACCTGAGAACCAACAGAGACAAAGGTTACACAGAGAAGCAGCCCGGGTTTTCTAGGACCTGCCAAGGGTCCTTCTGTGAGAAGGAGCTCATCCTAGTCCAACAAATAATACCAACCAACCCACCCCATCACAGGACCCAATAGGGTGCTGGCTCTAGGTAGGAGCAACCATACTGCACTATAAGTGTGTATAGGAACAAAGCCCACTTGGGCCAACACCAAAAGGCGGTCACAGGCTTCATTGCAAAACTGTGAGGGAGGAGGGGGGTGGGCTTTATGCACTCTGATCAGACAGAGTGGGAGACCGGCAGCACCCAGCAGCCAATCTGGGAGGCAGGCAGTGAATTATCCCATCATTTCCTGCCCTTTCTGTCTTTCTCTGACTCTTAAGACAATGTCCTATGACACAGCCACAGGCAGAGCTCAGATTGCCCCAGATTTTTCCATTTACAAAGCATTTCCATTCCCATCTGCTCCCTTGGTGCTCTTGTTCATGCCGCACTGTCTGGGAGACTGACCACTCTTTTCCCATCTGTTTACCACAAGAGCTGGTATACCCACAGCCCTGGAGTCCAGAGTCACCTTCCTGGGCAGAAGCCAGGTGATCCTTTCCTCATGGGTCTCTCCCACTTCCACGGTGGTTCTGTAGCTGGAGCTACTGGAGCTGGGAATGTGGGATCCCAAGACCGCCGCAGTCATGACTCAAGAGTATACAGACTGCCACACTAACCATGGGGTCAGTAGTCTCCTAACAAGTAACCCACAAGAATCAGAAGCAAAAGAGGCACCTACAGCCATCACAGCGCCAGAACCAAATGCTGGAAATGTAGGCATTCTTGGAGCTTGTCTTAGCACCTTCCAACCATGGCAGCAGCTACCACATTTGCACCCTATTGCCAAGCCAATGCTGCAGACAAGAGTATGAGAGTAGAATGATTGCCTAACATGCTCAAGGCCACAAAAATAGACCCCAAAAATGTTCTATTCAATGGATTGGCTCCTAATTCCAAAATAAGTTGGCTCCATATCTTTATGTCATAAAAGAACTAGGTGGAGCTCTTAAGAACAAGGAATTGAGGATGTCTTTACCATCAAACTCACTCTCGCTCTGTTTCCCTCTTGTTTCTGAGTCCCGCCCCCATCTCTGTCTCTCCCTCTCTCTCCAAACTCAGCTTCAGAACCTGGATCAAAGGCCTGCTCCTTTGGGAACGCTCATGTGGCCCCTTCCCCTGGGCTCTATGTTGAGGACTGCGGACCACCAGACCCTGAATTTCTTGTAAACAACTTGTTTTCCTCTGCTCTGAGCAACCTGCAGCTGCTCTGAACACGAGACCTGATGGCAGGGGAGTGGGTTCTAATGAGTCTGCCACTGAAAGATCTCAAGAGCTGGGGCGTGGCCAGAGTCCTATATAAACTGCCCGTGAGCATAATAAAGTGGGCATTCTTGGCACACTTGTATCAAGGATTACCCGTGTCCCCATGTCTCTGTCTGTGTACGTGTGTTTTTAAATCTCCAGGACCCTTGCCCGGGGCTCGCATACTGTCTGGTAGTGCAGACACTACAGCTCTACACACTGTATCTTCATTAGAACAAATAATATCATATTATCATAATCTGCCTCTGGTCTACAGCCCTTCCAAATGGTGAGCATCTCAAATGTAGCGATTATGTCTTTGTCATTTCTCTTCTATCTGTCCTACAGAAACAGGCACACTAAAGACTACATTTCCTAGACTCCTTTGAGGCTAAGGCTCTGGAGAGAATTTAGGTCCAACCAATCAGAAATATACTCATGAGACTGATTCCAAGCTGCTCCTTGAAAAACATGAAAAGGAGCATGGGGCAGACAGAGGTGACATGGTTCTCAAACACTACAGTCATGGCGGCAGCTCGCATGATGGTCCCATTGCACAATGCCATTGCTCATGTGACGGCTCATCTTGGTTGTCAGCCTGGCTACATCTGGAATTAACTAAAATCCAAGTGGCTGGGCATACCTATGAGAAAGCTTTCTTACTTAGTTAGACCATGTGAGGTAGGAAGATCCAATTTCAGTCTGGATCTTCTGAGGTGGAAAGGTCCATCTTTATGTGGACCACATCTTCTAGCCTGTCTTAGTCACTATTCTACTGCTGGGAGAAGACACCATGACCAAGGCAGCTCTTATAAAAGAAAGCATTTAATTGGGAACTTGGTTACAGTTTTGTCCATTATCGTCATGATAGGGAGCATGGTAACATGAAGGAAATTTCTGGAACAGTAGCTGAGAGCTACATCCCGATCCACAGGCAGAGAGAGAGAGAGAGAGAGAGAGAGAGAGAGAGAGAGAGAGAGAGAGACTGACTCTGAGCTTGGCATGGGTGTTTGAGACCTCAAAGCCCACCCTCATTGACATACTTCCTCCAACAAGGCCACACCTCCCAATCCTTACAAATAGTGTCACTCCCTGGTGGCTAAACACTCAAATATATGAACATATAGGGGCCATTCTCATTCAAACCACTATATTCCACTTTCTGGCCCCCATAATCTGGTAGATATCACAGAATGCAAAATATGCATTCAGTCCAACTTTACAGTCTCAACTTTGTTTCAAAGTTCAAAGTCTCTCCTGAGACTCTTGGCAATCTCTCAACTATCACTTTCTGTAAAGTCAAAATCAAAAAGAACAGATCACATACTTCCAACACACAGTGGCACAGGTTATGCATTACCATTCCAAAAGGGAGGAAAGGGGAGCATAGTGAGGAAATACTGAACCAAAGTAAGACCGAAGACCAGCTGGGCAAACTCCAAACTCTGCATCCCCATCTCTTCAGATCCCCAACTCCACTTCTCTCGCTTGGGCTGGTTCCACACCACAGCTTTGCTTGGCAGGGATCCCACAACTCTGTCATCTCCAGCATCTTGGGATCTCCAAGGCGATCCAAGCTTCGCCTTCACAATTTTACACAGTGCGCTCTCTGAGCCTTCATGCAGGGACACTCCCAATGCACACTTGGCCTCGGCATCTTTTCTTAGCCATGGTGGGAGATTCCACAACTTGTTTCTTGTATCCTTGACTATAAAACGAGAACCATGTGGCCAAAGCTCCCAAGTTCTACTGTTTGATGGGGTTGGAACTTGGCCACTTCCTTTTATTACATTTATATCAGCTTTCTGTTGGTGGCGGGTTCCTTCGCTGCTGAAGCTTTTCTTTAACTCCTTTCCACAAACTGGTGAGGTGTTGCTCTGAGGTTACAACTCCCTTTATTCCATTTAGCATCAGGTTTTTCTTTAAACCTCTTATGTTCCTGAGCACTGGACTTAGCTCCATTACACTTTCTGATGCTCCCTTTCTCTTCAAGCTACACATATTGTATTGGGGTGGAATGTGGTGATTTGAATAAGAATGACCCCCATAGGCTCATCAGTTTTAGTCACCAGGAAGTGGCACTATTTGAGAGCATTAGGAGGATTAGATGGTGTGGCCTTGTTGGAGGAAGTGTGTCACTGGAGGTGGGCTTTGCGGTTTCAGAAGTCCATACCAAGCCCAGAGTCTGTCTCTGCCTCCCTCTGTCTGGCTCTGGCTCTGGCTCTCTCTCCCCCTATGGATCAGGATGTAGCCCTCCTCTACTGCTTCATACTGCTCCCCACTATGATGATAATGGACTAAACCCAATTCAAATGCTTTCTTTTATGAGAACCTCCCTGGTCATAGAGTCTCTTCAAAGCAACAGAACAGTGACTAAGACAAGAAACTGGTATCAGGAATGGGGTGTCACTGTGACAGTCCTGACCATGATGTTTGTTGTAGAAATGTGGAGAGTTTGGATAAATAGAGTAGAAGAGCTATTGAACATTTTAGGGGGGGGGCAGTTACTGGGCCCTCCTATTAGGAACATGGACGACAGTGATGTTGAGAGTGATGTAGCTTGTGATGGCCAGACTCAAGAGGTTTCAGAGGACAAAAATATTAGTAAATGACCTAGAAACTGTTCTTGTGATATTTAGAGAATAATGTGGCCGCTTTCTGCCCTGAGGCTAAATTGAAGAGTTGGGGTTCATGGAAGTAGTGAAGGAGATTTCAAGGCAGCCTAGTTTTGACTGTGTTGTGTGGTTATTGGTAATCACTTGCATGCAGAGCTATAATGAGAAGTAGCAAGCCAGTAAGTAAGCAGCACCCCTCCATGGCCTCTGTATCAGCACCTTGCCTCCAGGTTCCAGCCCTGCGTGAATTCCTGCCCTGACATCTTTCAATGATGAATTACAATGTGGATGTGTAAGTCAAATAAACCATTTCCTCCCCAGCATTCTTATGGTCATGATGATTCCTTCCTTCCTTCCTTCCTTCCTTCCTTCCTTCCTTCCTTCCCCTCATTTTTGTTTGTTTCAGGTTTTTTCTTTGAGATAGGGTTTCTCTGTGTCCTGGAACTCGCTCTATAGACCAGGCTGACCTTGAACTCAGAGATCTATCTGCCTGCCTCTACCACTTGTGTGCTATGATTAAAGGCGTGCACCACCACCACTCAGCACATGGTGTTTCTTCACAGCAATAGTAACCCTAACTAGGATCTAGTGTATATAAAGGCTGTGGAAGAAAGAAGCTTTTGGTCTCTGCCTGCTTGCTCTCCCTGGCAGCTCATTCCTTCACTAGCCTTAGTGTCTCCTTCTTCATGATTCCAGGGTACACTGAAGAGCAGCTAAGACATCCGGTCTCGTGGACTGAACTACTGCATCCTTGGACTGTCCACTGGTAGACAGCATCATTGGACTAGCTGGATACTAGCTTGTAAGTTACTCCAATAGATTCCGTTTTATATTATATTACATTCATTCTTTCACTACACTCATTCTATATTTCATTGTTCCACTAGATAACCCCGACTAATTCACTAAGACACTCACTCATTTTTTTCTTGAAGACTCTGAGCTAGGAGTGACCTTAATAAATCTCTTTCTCCTTGAGGCAGTTGACAAGCATCCTGTCATCTGCAACTAAGAACAAGGGGTCAGCTTGGGG